CTCAGAGTGAGCAAGTTCAAGATGCTAACAGTAAAGTCCATTTTGTCTCAGATCCAACACCGAAATTGGTTTGTGACCATCGATCTAAAGGATGCATACTTTCACATCCAGATCGTCAAGAGACACAGGAAATTCCTCAGGTTCGCTTTCGAGTGCAAAGCTTACCAGTATCGTGTTCTTCCGTTTGGACTGGCTCTGGCCCCTCGAACATTTACAAAGTGTATGGACGCAGCTCTGGCCCCATTACGGCTCCAGGGCATCCGAATTTTGAACTACTTGGACGATTGGCTAATATTAGCTCAATCCCAGGATCAGGCACGGATACATCGAGATTTAGTGCTCGATCATCTACGGAGCCTAGGACTACGGGCGAACCCACAAAAGAGTGTTCTGCTGCCACGCCAGCGAACAACGTTCTTGGGGGTAGACATGGATTCTTGCACGATGCGGCACGTCTGTCTCCCGCACGTGTGCAGTCATTGCAAACCTAAGTCAGTTCAAGACAGGGTGCCTAGTCCATGTAGGCTTGTGTCTCAGACTGTTGGGTCTGATGGCGGCAGCGTCCCCTGTAGTTCAGCTGGGCCTGCTCCACATGCGACCGTTTCAGTGGTGGACCAAGAGCCAGAACATTTCACCTTATTGTCATCCGCTTCGCAGAATTACGGTGACACGCAGAGGTTTTCGTGCTCTAAAGCCGTGGAAAAGACCCCAGTTCCTTCAGAAAGGAGTCCAACTGGGGGCGTGTCTTCATCGTAAAACTATCACGACGGACGCGTCCCTGACTGGCTGGGGAGCGGTCCATCTAGTCCGGGGAGTTTGGTCAGAGGAACATCGGAACTGGCACATAAATCGTTTGGAACTACTGGAAGTCTTCCTGGCTCTCAGAAAGTTTTTACATTGACGGGCTGTCATGTGTTAGTCAGGATGGACAACATGACTGTAGTTTCTTACCTGAATCGTCAAGGAGGATTACATTCTCGCCCCCTGTACAGGCTGGCGAGGAGTGTTCTTCTTTGGGCTCAAACCAAATTCCTGTCAATCAGAGCAGTCCATGTCCCGGGTCACCTGAACTCAGGAGCAGACTTGCTCTCGAGACAGAAGCTGGAGGACGGGGAATGGAGACTTCACCTTCAAGTGGTGGATCTTGTATGGCAGCGGTTCGAACGAGCGGAAGTGGATCTGTTTGCTTCGAGCACGACTACGCACTGCCCGCTCTGGTTTTCCCTGTCTCCCCCGTCTCCTCTAGGTCTGGATGCTCTGGCCCACGAATGGCCCAGAACCAGTCTGTATGCTTTTCCCCCGATCCGGCTGCTCCCAGTAATTCTGCTCAGAGTGTGATCGGACCGGGTGGAGCACCTGCTGTTAGTGGCCCCATGGTGGCCCACCCAGTCGTGGTTTTCGGACCTGGTCAGTCTGTCGGTCGGCCCTCCTTGGGAGATTCCCCTCAGACACGATCTGTTGACACAAGCTCGGGGCACGATTTGGCACCCTCGACCGGATTTATGGACTGTTTGAATCGTTCCCTGTCCCCTATATAGTGCACTACGTGCCATTCACTGTACAGAAAATACTAATTCTGTGGACAAGTGACCGATTTCAGCCACGGCTTCAGCGTCTATTTTATAGTGTAGGGGGCGGGCGCTTCAGATTCTAGAGAGAATTTGATTGGAAAGAAAGTTTGATGAGAAGCTGAAGTTTTGGCGGAAGTGACGAACTGCAAGCTTTGAATGCTTATATCTTCTAAATGCGAATTTTCACACTGCCTTATAGATAAACTTAAGACTAACATATTGATACTAACACCCAAAAAACTTTAATTTTGATTTCATGGGGACTTGAATTAATCTAATTAATTTGAGATTAATCGGCACATTATGTAATTAATTTGATTTGTTTTTTTTTTTAATAATCAATTGACAGCCCTATTTAAAGTCGGCATGAAACGGAAGTTGCGATTTGTCTTTTGATTTCTTCTCTACTGTGACGTATATCCGAGTGAAACAGCATCTGAAATGAGAGGGCGGGACTTGATTTTGTCCTTCGGAAATTGATTGGTTCGTTGGAAGCTGTACTAACACCCAAAAAACTTTAATTTTGATTTCATGGGGACTTGAATTAATCTAATTAATTTGAGATTAATCGGCACATTATGTAATTAATTTGATTTGTTTTTTTTTTAAATAATCAATTGACAGCCCTATTTAAAGTCGGCATGAAACGGAAGTTGCGATTTGTCTTTTGATTTCTTCTCTACTGTGACGTATATCCGAGTGAAACAGCATCTGAAATGAGAGGGCGGGACTTGATTTTGTCCTTCGGAAATTGATTGGTTCGTTGGAAGCTGGGGCGTTACTAAAAAAATAGAGGCAGATCTGAATGCCAGTTTGCAGTTAGTGGTGGGGGATTTCTCTCCACTGGATTCACCTAGTGATGGGAAGCATGAATAAATGTTTTATTTATTAAGGATGACAACGACGACGATCAACGGCACAAAACATGCCTAAACAGCACGCGCGAGAGAGAGAGAGAGAGACTGCATGAATGACTGAGCGCGTCCTCCATCAGGTTAAGTCATATTCATGAAAAAAATTGACTGTTTCGGGAAAAGATTCAAAGCTTCGCAAGTGTCATATCTCGTGGTCAATAAAAAATATAGCAGCCAAAAGCCTGTGAAAATAGTGTGTGTGTGTTTGTTAAAATTCTCTCTGATTGGACAGATAGTGAGGCTTCATTTTCTTCTGATCACGTGATTCTCTGAAAACAATACGCGTTCCGGCACAGAGCTTCGTGAGAAATTGCGCTGCTTACCCGATACGCGCTTTGAAGCTTCAGTGTCATCATCACTAGCCGACACCCAAGCATGAATAAATGTTTTATTTATTAAGGATGACAACGACGACGATCAACGGCACAAAACATGCCTAAACAGCACGCGCGCGCGCGCGCGAGAGAGAGAGACTGCCTGAATGACTGAGCGCGGCCTCCATCAGGCTAAGACATATTCATGAAAAAAATT